TCCTATAGCCGGCTATAAGAATTTTTAAACGCAGCTCCTATCGCCAATTTTTACCAGGGTACCGATATACTCGCGGACCGCGTTGAGGAGAAAGGAACCAAGTCACATCAGCTATTGCCATATTTAACTGGGCAATTTACTTTTTCTCACAAAAACGGTTGTACGGATTTGTGTGCAAATTTTAGTGAATTTCCTGCATAGTAGGTACGAAGTAAATTCCTCAACATTTTCAAATGAGTCCGCGCAAACGTTCTCTAGTAAAAAATTAAATTATTCAGATAAATTTGGCAATAGCTGATGCGGCTTGATTCCTTTCTGCTTAACGCCGTACGGTGGATCGGTTCAATTGCAGAGGTCAGACATAAAATTTTTGACTAAAACTGCAAATTTTGATGTTTAATTTATCACATTTTATATTTTTAGGGGTGCATCTAGAAAAAAATTCCTCGAGAAAACCGATGGAAATACTATTAAAATCTCAAAGTTTTGTATAAACGGAATTATAAGCTGTTAAGTTTCCAAATTTTGTCCGACCACTCCTCCACTGTGCGCCGTCGACATTACCTTCCCCGCGATGAACTTCAAATTTACCGCGGTTTTCGTAAATACTCTACCAAGTTGAACCACGTTCATCGACAGAACTTGTAAGTGAGGGCAGAGGGCTCCGCACCTTAGCTTTTGGATTAAGGCGCGAGTTAACACGCAGCTGGAAGCTGCGAAACGGCACACCGTGCATAGCACGCGATCCAATGAGGCCATGAATGAAATCGTCCTTTATCAGCCGTATCTGGTATAAGGCGTTGCTAGCTACAAAATGCCTCGATAAAAGCTTCTATGACTTCAAGGTTACATGTTGTATTACACGACTCCCCCCCCCCCCCCATCGTCCCACTCCCATCCTCCCTCACTCTACGGGTTCAGAGTTTGCTCCAGATAAAGGCACTAGCCAGAATTGTCACTTGAAGCACGATCCCACTACAGGTTTTTACTTCTCAGTTTTTTCAACGCATCTGCCAAATCACGTATTGTTTTTCGTAGAGCCAAACCTCCTTAGGCTCAGTGACCAACACTGAAAAAAAAATATGGTAACGTCCACTATAAGTTGACTTTTTACACAGAGATACTATTTACAGAAAAAAACCAGAATTATAGTAGTATTCACCAGAACTCTGGTGATACTTACCATAATATTGTAAATGCTGTCGTAGAGCCTAGTACTAATAACTATACTTGGATCACTGTGTCAAAGTATGGTAAGTATAATCTACCATACTTTTTTCAGTTAAGGCCATTCGATTTTTCGAAAGTTTGAGAATAATTAATTTCTTATTACCACTTCACTATTTTCTATGCTGTAAAATGTTACGTATCTTACAGATTTTCTGATGAAAATTTGGAATTTACAGATGTGAAAAGGCAAGAGGAAATGGCAACGCTGGAACGACTGATAGCATTACTTTTCTTCCATTGAATTTTTCAATGGCTTTGAAATTTCAAAAGGGGGCTCCTACATACTTACATTGTAAGCTTTCAATACTCGAATTCCTCGTTTCCCGGACGATGGAACTCAACTCCATTCCAAGGTTGCAAAATTTGATTCTGATAATTCCATCTTCCTCAAGAATACACACTGTGCAATTTCTTCCCTAACTTGTTCTGATTTTTGCGAGAGATCAGAAGACATAGCGCGGGAATTTTCATTTAGAAATGCCTAAAATTCGCAAAAATGCAATTTGTAACGGAACACTTGGTAAGATAAAAAGTAGGAGGACAACACACAGTGGATCGAGTTAATTAGAGAGGTCAGACATGAAATGTTTGACTAAAATTGTACATTTTGATGTTTATTTCGTCACATTTTAAATTTCAAGGGGTGTAACTAGAAGAAAATTTCACGATGAAACCGATGGAAACACTTTTAGAACTTCAAAGTTTTGTATTGACGAAGTTGTAAGCGTTTCAAGTTTCCAGATTTTGTCCGACCTCTCCTATTGACTGGATCCACTGTGCAACGAATATCTGCGAGTGGATTTGGTTACAAGTTTCTCACTTACTGCTAACCTCCGTTACAGCAAAACGAAATTCCCTCCGGGCGACAATGCGCGTACAACATTTGGTTTCATGCTGACAGCAATGACTACCACCTCTGAAATTCGCGACCCACCCCCAGAGATGGATCAAAAAGCGGATACTTAGATACAAATGTCTGCTAAAATTTATCAAGCGACTGAGTTTAGTTTTTGACTTCAGCAGAGCGTTTCTCTCTTTTCAGTTGTAATCCTGCCGATCTGATCGAAAATGTCGACCAAATCAAACCGCGGAAATTCGCCTATTTAGTCGGGGAGAATGGTCCTGCAATGTTAAGTAGGTGCTTCATTACCGACCGATAAAAATATATTAGAGGCACATGGACGGAATAACGTAGACTAGTGCCCCTTCCAAAGTACATTGGCGGATCCAGCAATTCGGCAACACCAGATTTCCTCCATTTAAACCTATGCTAAATAGTCGATTCTTGTCGGAACATCTGGCCCCTCCAAAAATCGATACATTTCCATAGGTTTAAGGGAGGAAATCCGATGTTGCCGAATTGCTGGCCAATTCCCAAGTACCTACATTTTTCCGACAAAATTGGGACCCTGACGTCAAAGTACACTCCTTAGGGCTGAGTCCACGTGTCCGTAGTTTGACTTTGAGCTTTTCGTATCGCATCGCATCCCAAACGAAAATATTTGCTCAGAGCAGGCTCTCTGATCCTGCGCCTGGATTGTTGAATCGTTATCGAATGACTGATCGATTGATCGATAGATAGCATTGCTAAGATAGGATGTATCGATCAGGATCATTCGATAACGACTCAAAAATCGATCTGTAGCTTTCGTGCTTTCTCTTCACACGTAGAACTAATGACGGGATTAAGACTTCAACAATTAAAAACGTGGGGCACCCATTAGTGATTGGAACTGACAAGGTGGGAGGCGCCATTTTGCGTGGGCATTCCGCAAGCCTAGCGAAGGCGCTCGTTTCCTACAGGACAGATGGATGGATTCCAAGAGCGCTAAAAAGAAACACCATTCAGAGCTTCAAAGAATAACTGCTACGGAGGGTGGGGTTGAAAGGGGATGTGAGTTTTATGAAATTCATTATTCTATTAAAGTTCATAGGAAAATGGACTTGTAAGTGATACGAACGGGTTTTTTTTTTTTTTTTTTCAAAATAGTTAACTATTCGTGCACCCCGGTATGTTGTTTGCCTATGCAACGAAACTGAAGGCGAATCTCAAGTGGGCGATACCCACCAACAGAATCACATTTTGCTTAGTATTAGTTCAGTCAAAGCATGAAGTGGTGAGAAATGTACGTTTTCGTATAGCTTGCTATTCGTGCTCTTTGGTAAATACGATACTCATCTTACTCTTCATTTTGTCTCTCCTCTTCTTTCTCATCTTCTTTCTTTTCGAGATTCTGGAAATTTAAAAAAAAAATTGAAAAAGCTAAAATATAATAAATATTTCCAATTTTAAAACGAATCTTTTAAGGGGCAGGGGGCGCGGGAAGGTTTCAGGGGGGGAACACTCTCCCCCCCCCCTCTATGTCTCCCTTGGCTATTACAGTTCATTGACTGGTTTTGTCCATTACAATAGACATTGATTTTCAAAAAATTCGCAAGGGCACTAAGTCCACTTTGACCAAGCAAAAAATTCATCATGGAGACATAATCTAACAATAGGGACCTTAAGATTGGAGAAGAAGCTAAGTACCAGGTGCTTGAGGGCACAAATATAAACAGAGGCATTTCAGCTAATCCAGAAAAACGAAAAAATGACAATTTTGAAGTAATCCTAGTAAATTCCCAAATCGTAAGAATGAAAGCACTGCTCATGACAAATGTCGCTAAAGATGCATATCATTGAATAATAAAACTAATCATAAAAATTCCGTTGATTTAACTTGATTTTTAAGTAGCCAAAATGAATGTCCATTGCAATGGACAAAGTCAGTGAACAGGTTAAGAAAAACAATTTGCAAGATTGTCAACGTAGTTTCCAACTACAGGAAAAATTTATTTCAAACCCTAGGCTCTTACTTACTAACGAAAAATTATGGTTTGAAATTCTGACCTGATGTTCTTAGAAGTGCCTGTTAAAAAGCGTTTAGCTCTAAAGCCTGAAAATCGATGCTTTCAACCCGAAAAATTTGAGCCAATTTTTCAAACGTCCACCTCAGAACCCAATTTGCTTGACTACATTACTATTATATTTTCACTCTCATTTGGTAATTCCTTTAACGTTGCTTCTATAGGTAGGTATATGTCATGCATTTTCCCCTCAACTATGATGTAGGTACCTACTATGCTCCTGACCAAATCAATTTTCTCTTGTTGAGGGATCCAGCGATGACATGCAGTATGCAGTTAGTATGGGGAAGCTCTAATGGATACTAATTTTTAACCATCCACTCACTAGATTCCAAACGGTGACTGAGACAATGTCATATTGAATAGGTAAGTTTTAAGATGCACAAAATTTTGTATGATGATGGATGGATTGGAGGTGACTATATAAGTAGGTATCAAACCTTGATGTACTATGAAAAATTTAAAAATATCATATTTTTGCTCACCATTCATTCTTTGACAAGTTGAACAAGAGGATGTTAGTATCTCGAGCTAGCAAGGTGATAACATTCCGTGTCGTGTAACTTAAAAATCTTGAAGCATGAGGTAACACAAGAAGATAAAAGAATTTTTGAATTATTCCAATAACTTCTAGTAATATAAAAGGCACTTTAAAGAAGAATGATTCACACTTAATACTCCGCGAAAAACACTTTTATCAAGGAATCGGAAAAAAGTATAAAAAACGATCTGAATAAGAATCACACCAACTAACCTCTTCATTATCACATTTCACCGATTTGTTTACTTTGTTTGCGGAAATTCTTTTTATGTTGATACATCCGACAACAATGATTGTTTACATTTTGCATCAACAAGGTTGATGGCAGTTAACCTCCAAAATCATCCTTTCCAGATTTGCAAAAATGACGCATCTTTGTCGGTTTTCTAAGTTTATTTTAGTAATGTAAAAGTACTAGTTGTTCAGCATGAAACTCCAGTTTAAGTGTTACCCGGTGTTCTTTTTAATTTTCTAGTCTAATTTCCTTAATTGGCATATTTTGAGCCTCATAACTCCACCATGTTATCTCATGTTATCGTCATTTCACTTCTTTGTACACTCTCCTACCACACAACCTTGCAGTCAACAAATGTGAATGTTTACGATGATTATCGCAAGTTTTTATCGACAAAAACTCCGTACAGCTTCATCGGGAACTTCAATGATACTGAAGTGAAATTTTCAGGTTTGCCATTCATCCGTGTTTGTTTCTCAGAACTGCAACGCTCACGCCCAATTCAAATGGCCGAACCTTTCATCGAACAACAGTAGACGAAAAGTTGAATGGAAATTTTAATGCCAATAAGTTTTATTTAAACATCATTGCTGTGTGGTATTGCCATTGAACCTGACATCGGCATCCGGGTAGTTTTGTCAACTTCAGGTTGCCGAAGACACAGCTTTCATTAGTGACGTCAGGCAGGAGATTTCGTTCCAACCTCTAGGAAAGTTGGAAAAGACGTCAGATTCAAGTTTCTGTCCAACTTTTCATCCCATCGTCCTGTTCTTATATCAGTATCACATGATCTGTCTTTTCATTTGACAAAAGCGTAAGATAAGTTGAATGAAATGGTTGATCGCCTAAACTGGACCTAAATTAACCGCAGCACCACCAAATTTATTTTCCCTCGCAAATTTTTAGCATTGCTCAGCAACTGTTTGATTTAATCATGATCAGCTTCAAAGAAGCATAACTCTGAGTTCGAATTTATCATCTCTTTTTTTCCCTGTCAAATCAATAATGGATTTACCAAGAATTGTTTCGTACATCCATGTCTGAAAAGCTAATGTTGGAATATCAAAAGTTTCTCTGACAGTCAATTAGCATACGACTCAGATCAGGTTTTTGAATGCCCATTCATGTACTCAGTTGAGTCTCTAATCCGGTATTATTTGACTGAAGGTCACTAGAATAGTGCTAGGTTCCTACTGTCCCGGAAGCAAGAGAGTGCAAGATTATTTTATACACAAGTAAATGAATTTTGGAATAATAAAAAAATTTAATTTCAGGGTTTATACTGTGCCACAATGCAGTTATTCCAGAAATCAGCTAATATTAATACTTACCTGATCATCAGTAAAGCAATACTGCTGTGCTAAGGTAAAATATTGTTGAAACATTCGAGAGTTTCCAAATTTTCTCCAATAAAATGTTTATTTTTGAGGGAAGTAATGAATATTTTCACTTGAAATTATCAGATGATTTATATCTGATTCTGAATAAAATTTTTATAAATTTGGAAGAACAATATTTAGATTTCCCCCCTAAAATTTGTATTTTATCCAAGGGAATTTGGCCTTGTCTGAAGGATCTTATTGTCCTTGCTTATCACGGCAGAATAAATGCCTGATCTCATCATCTGTGGACTGTAGAAATATCTGTGTGGATATGGGGAATATCTTGAAACTCATCAAAAAATGAATTGATAAAATAATAAGTGAGAAATAAACTGATAAATGATAAGACTTAAACATCATAAACGAAACCGAGAATTTGCAGATTTCTGAGAACCTAGCACAAAATCAAGGGCTGTAGGGGAAATCAGTGAGGAAGAAATGCTGAACTGCAAGAAACATCCAGCCCTTAGAGGCTCTCTATACTCCTGCAGATTACTTTTACTGCCGTAGATACATGTTCATGTTTACTAGTAGCTTAAATGTAGATGGTTTTTTTTTCTCTTAAGGTTGTGAGGCAGAAAAAATATGGGCCATCTTCAGGCATGGGACACGGACGGCTGGAATCAGAATTGCTCTAAAGATGAAGGAGAAACTGACAATGATACAGAAATTGCTTCTTGACAATCATCATAAAAGTGGTATTTTTTTACAGTACATTATTTTACGTAGTTCAGATTCTCTCTACAATTCTTAGATTTACTTAATGTTAAGAAAACCTTTGAAGTAATTGAATTTTCAGGGTGGCAAATGTTAGGAAAAACCTGGGAAAGTCAGGGAATTTTTTTATTTGTAAAGGAGACCACACTGACCCTTTCAGAAGAAGTTTAGAAATTTCTTTTTTTCAAAGGGTCAGGGGAAGTCAGGAAATTATGCCAAAATTAATCCTGGATTTTTTTAGGAAAATCAGGAAAATTTGATGTTTTAGTTCATTATCCACCCTGATGTTGCATATCTCAAGAAAATTCCTACAGCAGGTATTTCCAAAGAACAAGGCAAAGTTCAAACCTTCAATCGTGTACTATTGAAGTTCAGTTTTAATCTAAAGTCATTCAAAACAAAGAGCTGTCGGAGAAGAGCAGCTGCTGTTTTTTTTTAATAGGTCGCTGAGGAATTGGATTTTTTTACGCCCACCTCGAAAAATTTTCAGTTACCTTCTTTTGATGGTGTCTGCTGTCAGCTTTTCGAAACTTCCTGTATGTTCCACATCTAAGAAACTATCATCTGAGAGCGTAGTTTGTATTGAATAATCAAGTTCTTTCTATTAGCTCCAAGGCTTATATTTGGTTTATTTACAGTGATTTATTTTGGAGTATTTCGACCTCCAAATGAACCCGTGCGATGAAACTCGCCATTTTTTGAGCTTCCTACTTCACAAACGATACCACGGTACAGGTGAGAATTTTGTTAGAGGAGTCATTCCATCCAACCCCTGTTCACAAGGATAATACGCAATATTCAACATAGCCGATGCCAATCCGCCAAAACACATGTGACAGGACAATGATTCTAACCACCTGATAACAATTGGCAAGTTTGTATTCACATTTTTCTCGCATTGATAGATATCTGCCTTGATTGACCTCGTGCTCTCCTCAACATGCGCGCGGAAGCGTCAGCCATGTTGAGCAGGGATTGAATGGAACGACTCCTCTAACAAAATGTTCACCTGTACTGTAGTATCCTTTTTGAAGTGGGAATCTTAAAAAGCCGATAGTGAAGTTAGGAGTGCATTTCAGAGTGTGCCAATGCGCTCATCGTGATTTTTAAGACATTATCTGTAAGGAACAACTCCTATTTTTGCTCTGTAAAGGTTTGCAACAGGCCCATTGTACTCTCTAAAAATAGTAAACTCTCCGAGAACTTGCAGTATACTTTATAAAAGATTTTGACATTTTCATGTAGCTGTAATACTTGAATAATTAATTGCTCTGATTATGTTTCATTGTTAAAGACTACCTGAAGGAGCCTGTTCTGAGTGAATTGAGGAAGTGGAAAGTTTCATTCAATGAAAGTGAAAATAAACTTTTGACACATGAAGGAGAAGAAGAATTGCTGTTGCTCGGAGAAAGATATCTGAACCGGTTTCCAAAACTCTTGAATGAGCATTATAACAATGCTACCTACAAGGTACACAACTTTTGATAAGTAAAAAGCTGTATTACTAGACTTTCACTTACCAGTTGAATTTTTTCAACCATGATGCTTGTCTCGGAATTAAAGAACGTAAAAGAAAATGAGTTTGGAGGGTAGATGGTCAAGGTTTCTTAATTATAACTCTGATTTGTATTTTCGAAGTGGTCACAGACTGTATTTCCATCTAAAACAAAATGAAGGGAATATGTCTTAATGTGAAAAATGAGAGACAGTTTGCCAAAAATAAAGCTGTTTGTATGAAAAAAAAAAGAAGGAAAAAAAACTCATGGTTGGAATTAAACCAGAACGTTGCAGTTTGCGTTCTACACTTTATCATCAACCATATTTCTCTCAGATTTTTTTTTTCTTGTTTAAAAGCTCCCAGAACCTACAGTCAATATTTTTAGAAAAACAAAATAATTCTGCAGATCTTAACTTTATGTCACTTTACTTTTCCCAATAATAAGGGATTGAATGCCCTAGCAAATTTTGCCTCGGCAATTCTTTGCTCTATTAATTTTCCTAAGTCGAAACATTCGCAATATGTTGACTGCACTGTTGACTGTTCCTTCCCATTATACCTCCCTCCGAGAGGCTGAAAAAATTGAACAGTTTTTTATAGAATTTGAATGAGAGAAATGAAAAGTACAAACTTGTGAAGAAAAAATGTCCTCTCAGCTTTTTGGTATAATCTTTTTTAATTTTACATCATTATATGAGGACCTTTTTGATCAAACAGCTTATGTCCTTGTCAACATTGTTAAGATTGTGCATACATTCAACTGCTTGGTTGGTAAAGAGCTGTAAGCTTTATTCTGAAATTTGCCTCAAGTTTTCACTCTCTTTCTGAATATTTTAGCCGAGAAATTTATAATGTGGGTGATTTCGAATACCTGTAAAAAAAGTAAAAGTTGCACAATCTTAGGGACATTGACATGGGTATAAGCTGTTTGGTCCGCAAGGTCCTCGTTCACTGAATCAAATCGAAAAAGGGTACTCTTGCAGGTCCAAATTATGCTGTAATTTTAATCAACTTCGATAGGTGTAATTTTTTTTCTTTTGATAAATGGTAAATTTGTTTAGCCTCATCAACGTCACCTTTACTTTTCTCGGTCTCTGTATTTTATAATAATTTGTGTTTTTTCGATTATCAGTTTAGATTTACCGGGACACAAAGAACTGAAGAGAGCGCAAAAAATTTTGCCGTTGGTCTTTTTGGGCGAAAAGAAAGTCTGTACGTTTGGTATCCTGAGCCTCTTCATAGGGATCCAATCCTAAGAGTAAGTACGAACTTTCAAAAGATGTCCTTGCTTAAGGATTATACAACAATTTAGCTGATGATAATTTTTGAATTACCTATGATAGACTCAATATAATTAAGAAATAAAAGAAGAAATTCCTGCATTATTTCACGAGCAAGTAGACTCATTTTTTTGTAAATAAATTTGTATAATAAACCTTTACAATAGGGCATTTGTAGTAGTTTCAATTGAATCGGCTCACGCAAAAACCGCTAATGTCCATTTTCTCTTATTTAGAGTAAACTGCAAAAAACTGTAGAAGCCTTTTAAATGCGGTACTAAAAAATGTTCAGAAGTTGACTATTACAAGAGTGGACTGTAGAAAAGGATCCCTAACAGTTTCCAGCTCCTCTTCTGTCCGGGATGGAGTAATTAAAGAGAAAGGACTCTGGACATTAGCGGTTTTCGCATGATACGTAAAAATCGCCGAGTTTTGGAGCCGTTTGATTTTTCCAAAATCCATTCTAAAGATGTTAAAGCGGTGGATTATCATTTACATAAAGTTAAAAAAATAACATTCCGGACAATTGCGGTGCTTAAAATAAGTTTCATCACAAAACTCCCAGCAATAAACTGGACATTAGCGGTTTTCGCATGATTTGCGCGTGGACGGTTCTGAAACATCGGAAACGCATATTTTTCAATATGCCTCTCGGGAAAAATAAGGATATTCCTGTGTATTTTGAGGCGCTGAATCCGAATATGACCTCCGTTTTTTTCCATCACCCTCCAGTTTAACAGTCGAAAAAACACCGAAAATGCCCAAAAATGGTCATTTCCGGAAAATTGGAGGGTGATGGAAAAGAACGGAGGTCATATTCGGATTCAACGCTTTAAAATGCATAAAGATCACCTAATGTCGTCCAGAAGACATTTTTTTTATTTTGGTTTTTTTGTACAGTATAATGAGGCATATAACGAAAGATGGACATTAGCGTTTTTCGCATGATTCGGACCACGGCCTCCCCTGAAAAGGGCTTCAAACCTAAGGAACAAACATTTTCACTACATTAATGAGTGTCTGACCTCCGAGAGTATTTTAACCCAAAAATCTCAAAATTGAAAAAAATGGACTTAAGCGGTTTTCGCACGAGCTGATTCAATTAATTATTGGGTGCAGGGGTTTGTCTAAGGGGGTCACAAGAATTTATTGTACAGTAGTCATTGAATTTTGTGTAATTGAAGAATTCTTTGATGATTTTTATCTGCTCAAGTTCACAGTGTAATTGGAAGCCAGTTGAGAAGCATTCACGAAAGGAAAAATCATTCATCGTTCTTTAATCTCTGTAAAAAGTAAGGTAAACACCCAGGTACAACTGTTCAGCCTTGTCCGCATTATTCAACCTTCTTTGTTTACGAGAAATATTTTTAAAAGAACTTGTGTTTGATTTTTCCAGTTTTATAAGCTCTGCGACAAATGGAAGGTCGAGGTCAAGAAGAATCCTGCAACTATGAGAGAAGTTGAGCTCTTTAGAGAAGCAGATGCCCTAAAAGGAGGGGTAAAACAATTTTCAGAAGAATTGAAACTTGATCAACCGCTAACAGTTGCTGATTGTTACGAGATTTATGTTGCCTGTGCATTTGAAACAGCGTGGGCTCCCACGGAAGAACCCTCTCCTTGGTGCAAAATCCTGCCGCTGAATTTGTTCAAAGCATATGAGTATATGGAGGACATGGAGTATTACTATAAAGACGGCTATGGATACCAAGTCAATCATGACCAAGCATGTGTAGCATTAAAAGACATGGTTGAGCACCTGTTGTAAGTTGAATTTTTGTTACTGTTATCAGTATATTTTCCTTTTGCAGTGATTTACCTCTTTGTATGGGAGTGTCACTCATTTTAATCATTGCAATGATTTTCATCAAAGATTTTCTGTAAAGTATGTATACAGTAAGACACTGATTTACAGTAAGACCTCGAATTATCGGATCGCAATTTAATGGATCCCGCGATTTAACAGATCAATCCTCTGGACCCAGTAGAGTGATTTAACTGATTAGCCTCTGGTCCCGTGAAATCTGATAAATCGAGGTCTTACTGTATTGGATTTCACGGGTCGGACAAATGAAACTATTAAATTGAAATCAGATTTATCAAGGTCTTACTGTAGTTGAAAATGAATGAACATTGTGTCACCATAGTTCACTGTAGCTCTTTGTCAAATAAATTGTCAGAGTCCGTTGGGAGACATCACTCCTGAATCCATAAATGCTAAAAAAATGAATAAAGAATGTTACCTAGGGAACATTAGCTTTCTGCTTATTTAACGCCTTGAATCCCCAAATAATGTGCAGCTCGGTTGTAAAAAACAAGGAGAAGATAACCAGGTCCGATTTTAGGTTGTGAGGTTGAGATACATCTCTGCTTTTACCATTGAGTATTAATTTTGCATAGCTGAGTTCTCAATATATAGCTACCTATACTCCGTTAACCATTATTAGCTTATTTTTTTTGTGTGCTATATGGCTATTATTTTCCTGAGTGCGATTATAAACAACTTTTTTCATTTCATAGTGTGGGTCTCTTAATGCTATTTCTATGAAAAATGAAGATGCCTTATTTTCTAATCCAATTTTTTTAAGCTGAAATTTTTTCACAATGTCTTTGAAGAGAACTCATGGTGTGAAATACTAAGAGTATATCTAATGGAACTTGTCACTGATGCATTGTTTAATCATCGAATTACATTTTCATCGTTTTTTTACTAGGAATCCTGATGACCCAACCGCTGTTTTTTACTTTACTCACTCTGGTACTCTGCTCAAACTAGTTTCCCACCTTGGGTTGTACAAAGACAAGGAACCTCTTCGCCACAACACTTCCAACTGGAACAAGAGGAAATGGAGGACCTCTCATATTGATGCATTTGGCACCAATCTGGCTTTCATTAGATATAGGTAAGTCAAGTTTCTGATAAATCACATGCCTACTTTAGTTAGCTCTATTTATTTTTTCAGTTCAATCCAGGGGCTCCCACAAGACAAAGAAAATACAGTAGATAGCCTAAGAGTGAGATGATCATAATCATCAAATAATGGGTACCAAGGCCAAAATTTGAAGAAATATCAAGGCAATTGAGAGCACCAGATATCGGGGTCAAAACACTAGTACGTTCTAGTTTTCAGAAGATTTTTTCTTTGAGCAGTATTTCCTGTATTCCTTACAATTTCTCACATGAACAAGAAAAAAACAATACCATTACTATATAAAATTTGTCATGTGTTTAGTATAATTTGCAAGTTGCACTGAGCCAACAAGCTCTCATTTATGCAGAAGGCTAAGCGTGGATTTTCCTGAATTTCTGAAACTAAGGAAAATACTGAATATATTAGGCTGAATCAATAGATCATTCATCACATTTTGTATGACAACAAAGCTTATTATTTCTCAAGCAGGAGTGTCAGCAGGGTTACTGTAACCTGGAAAACTAAAAAAGGCAGGGAATGTTGCGAGTCGCACGTTGGCTCAGGAACCTCAGTTGTCGCCATTAGAGAGAACGCAAACAACTCAAACGTCTAAATTTTAGTATAATTATAACAGTGTTGCCACAGTCATGGAATACCAAGAAAACAAGGAAATTTCAGGGTTAATGACGAAAGTGTCAGGGAAAAATTGTTGCCCCCTCTATTTGCTTTCTGATGTCTACGACAGCAAATTTTGCGGAGAAACTGTTTCAAATTATGATTTTTTAACCATCTGACATATCTTCAATTGTCTAGGAATTTTACTCAAATGTCTCATGGAACTGTCAGGGAATTTAATTTTCTAAATTTTGTAGCAACCCTGTTAAAAGATGGAAAATCTGAGTAAAAGTTTCTTTGAAGGTCTGGGAAAGTCAGAGAATTGGAAAATGAAGAGATGATGGAAACTCTAGTGAGACTGATGTAAAATTTGATTGCATTGGAGAAGAGAATAGCATCATCAAATTTGATTGATAAATGACTCTTATCAAGATCTTGCATGCTCCTCTTGTGATGCTTGCGAATCATTGGTTTCAGTTGCGGCGACGATGGAGAAAAAATTTTGACAATGCATCAAGAAAGACCTGTCATTTTACCAGGCTGTCCAACCTCATCTCCACTTTGTCCGCTTGATGTATTTCTAGACAACTACGCTGACAGTCTCAGTTGTGATTTTGACACAATCTGCTCCCTTGCGGATCCCAAAACAGAGCTATGATTTTTTTTTTAACCTAATTTTATTAGTCATTCGATGTCTTATCAAAGATTTTTTTACCTTTTATGAAACTTTGACTGAGTGCATTTTACTCCTATTTTTATATGACATTTTTACATATTTTTAACATGTTTAAAATTACTAAAAACTTGACCTGAAATGTATGTTAGTTAGATCTTTTACAATCAGCATAAGTTTGTTTTTCCTGTTTTATTATTGTTATGTTTTTAAGTACTTAAAGTGCTTTTTATGAGTGCAAAAGTAGAAGGGAAAACAAAGGTTAGTTGTTTTTCCTTTTGGGAATTAAAAATAAAAAAACTGTAAGAATCAACTATTAATGATGCTTACAAAAATACACTAAAGTTGAAACTTTTTAATTTACATTCCATGACTTCTTCTCATCGCCAAGGTTTAGTTTGTTATTTATGTTCAAACTTTTGATGGTTTAACTTGTCATCGAAAGTTTAGAGAAAAAAGTAACTAAGGTCTCAAATTTTCAGTTTAATTTATTAAATTTCATTTAAAAAATTCATGTATTTACAATAGAAAATAAATAAACAAAAATAAATTAAACAATACAAAATAGGAATAAACATACCTATAACTACTTACACTTATGAGATTGAGGTAAGTGCGTTCATTTTCGATCATTTGATATGAAACCTAGAAAAATATGTCAAAATAATGGTCAATGGATCATTTTATGACTTTTAACAAGGATTTTGGAGGGATACAAATGCTTTTTCAAAAAAATTAGCTTATCTGCAGGAAAAATTGAATAAATACTATGGTCTTACAGAAATTAGAAACAAAAAATTCAAACATTGAAAGCCTCAGGAATGGAGGTAGTACTATTGTGGCAGAGAAACAGAAATGGCAGTGCTGCACACATGAAAGTTCATTGTAGATAAATGGCTGTATCGTTCCTTATCCTTTGCCTTTATTCATGGATTTATAAAAAAACAGTAATGATCGATAGCGAAAATCACAATATCAAGTAAATTGTGGATATCATCTCGTACAATGAATATCAATAATAAAAGAGCAAAACAATACATTTTCACTAAGAATGGAGGTAAACTGCGATGATTTGAATCTTAGAAGGACAGAGAATCAATCCTATAAATGAATTTATAAAATAACATTAAACCAAAAATCAGGGATAGGACTCATGAACAACCTAGATATGGTGGTAATGAATTTACAAAATAACATTGGACAAAAAATCTGGGATAATAATAATGAACAAATTAGATATGATGGTACATAGTCAACTTGATGGATTTGAAACCAGAGAAATGGTTAGAAAAAAATATAGAGACAAAATTGGCTCCTCGAATAACCATTCGAGTGAGGGTCTTGAAGGAAGACTAAGAAATGTGTAATAAATCTTGTGTTGGAAATTTTAAGAGCCTTTTTGCAAAGATAACAACAAAAAAAAGTAATTTCTCTTCAGATAATAACAAAAAAAAAAAAAAAATTCTGCTATGACACCAAAGAGATACTTCAAATGAGTACATTTTTTTTTTTTATCATGAGGAAAAAGTAAGTAATAATGAATAATGGTCATGAAAATATTTGAAAACAATAAATTTCATTTCAGGTATAGTATAAAGAAAAGATTATTAGAGCATGTAGGTAAATTAATCAAAATACGATTGAACATAGGAGTAAGAAAAATTTCACAGTAGAAAATAAAATTAGAACCTCTTTTAACTGAACAGATCTTTTTTTGGAAAGGTTAAAATTAAGAAATGAAAAAACGGATTGCTTACAGAGTTCATGATTATGTTGAAGCTTCAATTTACATTTTTACAAATATACATTTGTACACTCGTAAATATTTTACAAATTGATTTCCTATTATAAGTCTAACAAATTGTGGCACATAAAGGTTCATTTAATATTTAATCAATAAATTTTCAGGGCAGGGTGGCCAAGGGAATTAGAAAACTCTTCTCAAAATACATATACGTATACATTCTCCATCACATAGCAAGAGAGAGGAAAAAAAGTAAAAAGGAGAGAAAATTTGCTGTGTCCTCATCGAATACTATGATTGTTGCACAACTTCAACTGAAAGTATAGGATTACATTCCTTAGTCTGTTGAAGCATTTGGATCGACAAGTATGGAATTATCAATTTTTCTTTTGTTTCGAGGGGAAGAGGATTCAATTCGCTCCCGATGGTGTATTCTTTTTTACAAAATTTCGAAATTAGTCAAACATTGCAGCATAAAGCTTAACACAAATTACATACATTTCGTACATTTACACAATACATTTCGTTGAACTAAAGTGATCCCCTTTTTCTCTCTCCCTCCCCCTCTCCCCGAAAAAAAAAAATTCAGGAGCTTGCAAACTAATGCAGTTTTTTTTTTTCAGAAGGACCGATTCATAATCTGCTCTTCCAGTCTTGAAGAAAATTAGGTGTATGTATGTTTTTCAGGAACATGTGTGAAGAAACTTTAGATAGAGTAAAAAAAAAAGCAAAATTATATTAAGCAATAATATTTATGATAAAATCCTTTTTTCCAGATAAAGAAAGCAAGAAAGAGGGCTGGAGGTTCTTTTGTTAAAAATACCTTTCCTGAATACTATGGGCAAAAAGGTATCATCCCATCACAACATTTAATATTATGTGGCAGAAAGGTTTGCCTTCATATGTATATAACAGGTTATTAGTGAAAATTTAGATAATTTTTAGTCTTAAATGCCATTAAATCTCATAGGTAGATACGCACCTTCTCAAAACAGAACTCAACACACTGGTGGTGTGTCTTAATATTAAAATAGAGTGTACAAATGCCAATTCTAAATTACAAATTAAATAATAAGTTTGGCAGTGGTTTTGATAAGTTTTGGTATCATCACTTAATGAATAGTGTTATAATACCTACCTATGTTGAAGTTCATAAATAAATGAGCTTATTCTTTCCCTTGACCAGGACTTGATGTTTTCAATTTTTATATCGCAATTAAATTGGAAAAAAGAAGATACAATTAATCAGTACAAAATTTCAAATAGAAAATAGGAATCGTTAAATGACTCGGTCTGACAAAACAACAATGAGTATTGGTACCGAAAGACTTTGGAGACCAGAAAATTTATTTCCTCCAAATAAGTCCCTCAGAATTGAAAGATCATTAGATAAATTTGGGCCTGAACTAACTACCTACCCGGGGAACAAATATAAGGTAACTAAGATCACGAAGAGCTGTTCCTGTGCCTATCACCAGGTTCACTCCTCGATGAATTGTAAATAGGTTGATACTGATTGTTGGGGTAACTAGGCATTATTCTGGAACTATTCGACGTAGATCTCCAGTGTGTATTTTTCGGCCGCAAGTAATTCGCTGGTTCAGAAATGACATCTGGAGGTGGATCTACATCAGGCACATTCGGATGTGAATAGTGATTTGTGGAGTCAGGTTTACTGACTGAGATCTGCTGATAATGATCTACTGAATTTGATGACTTGGCATGGTGATAATATTTGCTGAGCTGTGAAACAAAAATTAAAAACCAGCTTAAATTTACAGATTTGAATCGCTTTTTAAAAAAAGTTGAATCAAAAAGTCAGTGTCAATTTCCTGTCGCTAGCAGTACATTTTATTACAGCTGAATTGATAAGCTGATCTAATAACAACTGACACTGAAATGAGCCATCAAGTGACACACTCTCCTCATTTCTAATGTCAGGGAAAAGTAGTCTACATCATTGCGGAGTTTGAAGAAAAAAAACAAATAGTCAATGAAACCCAATTTTTTTTTTTTTCATGCTAAAAGATTGTTTCAAAACTTACTCCAACCGGCAACTGAAAACTAACATCCTGAATAAGTTAATTTAGGGATTATATGAGAACATTTTTGCAATACTTTTTGCTTGGCACGTATGATCTCTGCTTTGATAAGTTCTTTTTTTCCCATTTAATAACAGCACAGTAGTTGACCGTTTGTACAAATATGTATTTGTTCCCTGCCATTTTTCTCTCCTTTGGAACGATTTTAAAGATAAGACATCATCTAACTCAAATTTACGTTACAAACAACCCTTACCTGAGATTTATAGAAGTTTAAAGATGGAGGAGGATTTGATGGTGGTGGTGGGGTAGAACGAGGCGGGCGCGGCCCCAATTTTGTGACAACGCGGTGTCCTTGAGCATTAACTATGACAGGTACACCAATAACGCTTCCACCTGAAATCAGAACCAGTAGATTGAAGTTAATTTAATTGCAATAAAGCACGTGTACAAATCAATCTTTTGATGTGAGAAACAACAATTGAGCTACATATTGCAAATCGGAACTACAATTTCTGGCTTAGTTTGGAAATATGTATATAGGTATCATTAGAGCTCCCTATATGTGAGTGTTTTCACAAATGAGCCAGAAATTAAAGTTCCTAATTGCAAAATGAAGTCCAATGACACTCAAAGGATTTTGCAGTGAGCACTGTCAAGAGGAAGGTTCAATAAATTTCTGAATTAATTTCAGAATTCTTCACCAGCAGATAAATAAAACAAAGTACGTGAGCATTTAAAAGTAAAAAAGCCAAGTAATAAGTAATGCTCATTCTTAAATTTGTTCAAAATGTAAGTAATTTTTTGACTGGCCACAGATCATGACTACTTTTCCTGCAACTTCTAGCAATGCTGAAATTGTTATTTTGTGAGAATCTAGGCCTCCTGACAGCACATACCTCTTGGTTTTTAATACGCGACACATTTACAGCTCAAAATCTTAGAGGCCAAACATTTTTACTCCATGAATTCAAGGGGGGAAAAACTTTAATTACTTAGAGATGTCAATTCAGAGATCGTCGCAAGGTTTTGCAAAAAAAGATTTTGAGCAAAAATGAGGAACTTGGAAGAAAAGTGGGATAAGTTCGATTTTTAAAAAAATTGATGTACCTATAAATGATTTCAACTAACACCAGTCTTAAGTATATTCTAAGAAAAATTCACGACTAAACTCCAATTTTTACTTCTTAAACATTAAAATGTGAATTTGAACTCTCTTCCCATCATAAAGCTCCATGTACTTTTGAAACTTGAAACACATATTTTTTGAAATATCAAAAACTGCGCTTATCCCACTTGTCCTCCAAGCCCCTTGAATGAAATATTCAAAAAGTGTAAGTCCTTGAAGTCACTAAAGTGCATTAGACATACCTGACTGCAATGAGTCAGATTGTGAAAAACAATGTTAGAGAAAGGCAACACTGATAGATTCTTGGGAGGTCTATATAATAAAGTTTGGGAAACAAACCAATTTTTGTACAGTAGTTGAGATGCAGCTTTTTTACACTCACAATTAGCTTTAGAAGTTCCACTGTTGCTGAGAAATATTTTAATTGTTTTACCTTAAACAATCACTGGTAAATACGATGAAATTGATAAAAATCTCACCTGTTTTGCAGTACTCTCCATTCCCACTAAAGTAATAAGTGTCCGAGTAAACATTGCGAGCATAATTGGAAGGTGCATAAGGAGGATCGTCTGTCTGATATGTTTGCGGATCAACTTGCATCCAGCCCTACAGAAAAAAAAAAATTGAAAAATATTGAAGATCGAAGTGGTGAGGTACCAAATGAATGGTTTTAAATCGAACCAATAGTCTGTCTAACAATTGTCCTTTTCTTTACACACCAGCCAGATCTGATAATTACTCATCTAGCTTTACACTCTTGAAGGATCTTCATCACTAACAATAATATTAGCTGTATTCCAGAAATCATGGAACTTGTGCGACATAGGTATGCCAACTGTAAAAATTTTCAACATTTCAAAAATTCCAGCTAATGATTTCCTCTCACTTTTCACAGTCACTTACATCAGCCAGCAACAAGATTCTTTTACATTTTTAGGGACATTGCCCTACCTATCACCAATTTCCATTGGGAGGCGAACTTAAATTTTTTGATGGAGTTAATTGATCATTTTAAAGGAGGGGTATCCATAAAGGCCGTTTTTGGACCCACTCTAAATTTCCTTATTAACTCTACGAATTTTTGCTCATTGACGGTCTATATTTTAGAGAGCCCATCATGATTTGGTCTTTTATGGCCTCTGATGCCGGCCGAAACATGGGTCTGAAGGCCAGTTTCAGCAAAAAATGTGAGTTTACTATCGAATGCTAGGAAATCCGCATTTTTCGCGAAAATCGGCCTTAAGACCTGTGCTTAAGCCAGTATTAGATCCAAAATGAGACCAGAAATGACCAGATCATGATGCATTCTTATGATATACCTAGACCTCCAATGAGCAAAAAATCATGGAGTTCAGTTTCCAGATCCAAATATAAAATTGATGTTTGGGTTCGCACAAGAATTTAATAATTTGAATTTTTAACAAAACTCACTTGCACGTTGAACAACGTCCAAGTGAGTTTTCCAGATCCAACCAAAAGAGTGCTTCTTCATAGAAACCGTTCAAAAATAAACCAAGTGTTTCAAGTCCTACTTTGCACCTTGCAAGAAAATGCACAGAGTCCTTAACAAATAAATTTATTCATTTTTAAGACAGAGGATTTGTTATCATGCTTCTTTTAATTGCTAAACTGAAGATACCTACTAATATTTCTGTTTAACTTAAAAGTGCATAAGTAAACTGGTCTAGCGGAAACTCGACATTTTGGATTACTTATTTTAATCTTAAAGAAAACCATATGTCTACGTAAAAACCTGTTTTATACCTGAACTGTTCTAGTGCCATGCATTCTGGCATTAGGAGGCACTAAAGTTGTAGTGGCGTAAGGAGCCAGGGAGTTATCATTATCACAGCTAATTTCATAACCATTTCCATACACCTTGTGACCCTGGAATGTGCTCAGGGCTCCATTTTGCTGGACCTCAGCATAATCTGGCATTGCGGAGATGCTACCATTCTGCAGAAGTCTTGTGGAAGACTCTTTGTCACTATTCTCAGAAGAAAGCCTCCAAGAACTGTGAAAAAAAAACAGAGGGCTTGGTAAGAATTCAAGTGGAAAAGTGCTAATACATTTGAGGAGAGGACAAGAGAAGGTTTGCTATCAATTAATCTTCTCCATTAGTAATGTGAAATATTGGGGTATTCATGGGATCTAATTTTTAATTCACAGGATAAAGTAATTTAACTTAGGGCCAATTGTGCGTGTCTCACTTGCCAGGGCTGCACACGCTGTATGCACTTGAATGAGAACTCACTCTTAACGGGTTACATTACTCAAAATGGGCATCGAATCCTCAATGTGAAAAATTCAGTTAGGCTGGTACCTGGTAAGTATTACCTACAAGTACCTTGAATTTATTTTAAGAGTTTCAATTTTTAGGGATTTCTCACCATGAACTGTTAGAGGACTGCTGTGCGCCATCTATCCACAAAGAGCTGTCATGCTGAGGCAACAGAGCTGTGTGCGACAAAGGAGGAGAAATCGGATGCTGCAACCCTGTGCCAGATTTAGAGTTCAGTGGAGTTGCCAGCATGCCCACATTGGAACGAGAGTCTGAAATGGACAGTTAATAATAGAAACAAATTAATTTTTTAAAGAAAATGAGAGTGAAAAAGGTAAGAGAAAATCAAAGCAAAAGAATCAGACAAAAAACTTGCGCTTCATGCAATTATTCTGGGTGGCGAACCCCTTCCCCCTCTCTATATGGCGCAAGAGTGCAGGGGGTCAAGATAATCCCCCCCTCTCCTATTGACAAAATATAATGATTAGAGATAGTGCAATTTTACTTTAGTCTATAATCCCAAAGAAACTAGATCCAAAAATCTCAAGTGAACCTTTAGAAAGGTTCCTCATTTCTATTTCTTTCGTTCAAATAATCAAATTCCCAAGTAGCAAAATTTCAAGATTGATAAAGTATGAATAAGTTATAATGTATTGTCTCTTTATTGCTATGAAACTTCTACTAAAAAGAAATTTTAATATTCATGTGAAATACGAACTTGCTATAAATAGTCATGCTTCATTTTTCAATACGAAATAGCTATTTAATTGCAATTTATCTCTATGAGATCGCTGCCTTTGACTATTTTCATCACCCACTTTTTTAATTTTCAACAGCTACTTAACTGCCATTTATCATTACCTATCGCATTCCTATTTTTGATAACTCAGCCACATGGGTTGGTAAACACAATGAGAAATATTCCCTGATTCGGAACATGATTGGAAAAACATTTTTCTGAGCCCAAGTAATGAAAAGGCAATACAATCTTACCAAGAGTAGTTTTCTTTGCCAATAACTGCCTTTTTCTCACAAACAGCATTGCACCAAAGAGAAGAGTCATTACTGCAACCATCGACCCCAGTAAGGCAATAAACCATGGAGCAGATATCCACTCAACATCGGATTCTTCCCAATTTGGTGCATCATACCTAGAGGAGGACATGTTGAAAATTGAAAACCAGTTATTAGATTTTCACATTTAAAAGTTATTATAATATACAGCAAGTCATGAAAGATGTCATATCAACATCTGCATGTAGGTACTGATTTAAATTTTTCATTACAAAAAAAAGGAGAGCAAGGCTGCTTCAGTTTATTTATTGTTGTACCTAACTAAATGTAAGTAATTGGAAAACAAACTTTCTAGCGGAAGTTTACTGTATAGAAGCTATTTTTGCTGATTCTCCTAGATTTCAGCACAGTAAAAATTCAGACATTTAAAATTTTTGGACACTAGGTCCTATTTTTAAGTTAATACTTTTACCTCCATCATTATGCTGGATAAATCCTCTTTTGGAAATATACCACTTGATTACATCAAAGCAAGTTTCAATATAGAACTTGCATCAGATGAGTTGGCAGTTGTCTACTTCCTGTTTGCGAGTGACTGCGCAATAAATGCACAAAATTGACCAATAGCGATTGAGGATTGACCGAGTGCAATGACGGTAAGCTGCAACTGTATGCAGACACTGGAAACCAATACTCTCTGCTCAAGGGATATCGCAAAAGTCTACTGCATGTGACAGTCAGACGTAATTAACAACTGCCAACTTACCTGGCGTGAGCTCTGCATTGATTTCTCCAAGAAAATTAAGTGCTCCATCAGATTTAGATTTACTTAAATTGCAATACAAATTCCAGAAGCTAATTTCAGGATAGGAAATACTTACATATGATAAATGTTATCAGTCAAAAGTAATCTCCGTGATGGATCCAACCTTAGGGACAATGGATTTGAGAAGGGGCCAGTTCCTTTGTTTGTAGCGGCAGCAATTGCAATGAAATATGTTGCCCCAGCAGTCAGATTAGTAAGCAGTAAGGAAGGTGATGCTGCATTTACAGAAACGTTGCTCAAGACTGTGTTGTTGGAGCCACCACGCACGACAACCTGGTATGATCGAATAACTCCATTGTGTGACGAGTCTGGAGGTTCTTTCCATTTCAAATACACCGAACTAGAGTTGAGGAGGAGAGGCTCCATATGAGTTGGAGGCTCTGATGGAACTATTGACAAAAAAAAAAGACATTTCAATCATGAAAGAAAAAAAATTTTAAAAATAAATAGAGGATAAAAAATTAAAATAAAAAACCAAAGCTAAAACTCACATGATCAAACAGTAAAAAGTTCTAACCTTAGGACAAGTTTTAGACGATTTTATTTTTCAAACAAGTAAGTTTAAACTTTTGACTTTTGTTTCATATCATTTTAAGTACTGAGTTCTGATCCTTCAAATGAAACATTAAACCACATAAATTTAGAAAATAGGTACCTAATGGATACTTACAATAAGATTCCTGAATAATGCTAATTATGTTTGTAAAAACCCTTAAAAAACATTTGTAATCCTGCTTTTAGACCATAACTTTTTGAAATTTGTGATTCCTGATCTTTAGTTCAAGCAAATAATCTGACATCTTTTATAATTGTATGAAAATCCTGGCTAAAGATGACATTAGTCGAGTAATACTTTGCTTTTTGAGTTCTAGCATGCCTTATCCCTTGATGTCAGAACCTTCTCTTACATTTAATCTCATGTACCTAGCTGCATCCTCGATGCATTTGATGATAGAACATTGGTACTCTTTCATTGGTGCACTTCCACGACTTAATACTCTGATGGCTTAGGAAAAAAAATAAGAAAAAAAACTATTCATTTGTTATATATTGAATACTTACCATCTTCCACCGTTCTAGCAATACGAGAATTAGAGGGTCTGCCATCAATGTGCTTGTGATAAGGAATCAAAAAGAATTCATATCTCTTGTATTTGGCTAAACCAGTGAAGAGGAATCCAGATCCGGAAGTTTCTCCGGCATGAAGAACAGTGCGCATGCTTGTAGATCTCAAGGCACCATCAAGACTGCGGGAGTAAATGTAGAAGCCCTCCACAAAATCTGAGTTCACCATCTGTTAGAGTTCAAATCAGAAAATACGTAAAACTTTGTGACTGAATTATAAACTCCTTGGAGGATTTGCCTCATAATCGTGCAAAAGGATATGAAGCAATTCGGCCGCAATCCATTCCTTTCCCATTTTTTGGAATTTAGTAATGTAATAAAGGTTAACTGAGGAAATTTTAATTTTTTATGATGCTCTATCTTATGATAAGTAGGTACTTCATAAATATTTTCTTTTGTACCTATTTTATTGTATTGAGACTTTATCTTCAGAGGATGACTGACCGACCATCATAATTGCAGGGAGAAAAAAAAATCGTGTGCGACTCATCTTTGTTCTGCCAAGAATAATTTCTGAAAATTTCATCAAAAAACGTCTGATAACACTTTCCTGAGCACAAAAGTAGGAGCAAAAATGTTGAACTCTTAAGATCGATGTGAGTGCGATCGAGATACTTATGGATTTATGTATTTCTGCAGTAGATATGTAACATTGCACGAACAAAGGCCTGTCAGTAACTATCTCTCTTTATGCATACATAAATAAATTATCATTTTATTTATATACCTATTATTGTAATGTAAGTAAAAAATGGATTCTGTCCATTGTAAATATTTGGCTGCGTCTTACCTGCCAATTCAGTTTCACAGAGGTTGAACTGATTGGTTGAGCATTGATTAAATCAACAACATGGCCTCTAAACAAGGCCTTTTTGGCTTCTTTCAACTGTATTGCGACTGGGTCAAGTTCTTTGGTTTCTAATCCCGATGATAAAATGACAGTGTCAGAAAACGGAGACGGTGGAGATAAGCCATGTGAGTTCTCAGCCCGGACAAGAAATGAGTAACTTGCACCAGGAAGAAGATGATGCTGAGTGTACGTGTTACCAGTCAAACGGCGAGCAACAACAACCCATCCTCCATTTGTGACATTGGAATTTTCGCGGGCAAACATTTCGATCTATAAAATAAGAGGAATAATTATACTCAAAGAGTGAACCAAAATAAACCTTTTTAAACGCCAGACTTTTGAGATTATATTCATTTTAAGTAAAACTGAGGTAAGAAAATAACTGCACTTTTGGATTCTGGCCAAATTTAGGGCAGGAGATGACTAGTAGCTTTCACAGCTGATAGGTTTAAAATGAGAGGAGGAAGTATAAGTATTGGTTGCATAGTTTTTTGAATGAGCATGTCTGGTATTTTGCAGATCTTGTGATGAAAATGTGCTTCAAGAAATATTAAACCTTGTACCCTAAGAACAAGGAAAATTTAAAACAAACTCACAGTTTTTTGAAGTGACATTTCAGGGATCAATGATCTTGAAAGTTATATTTTAACATCTTGGTATTAGTCATTAACTGACTAACTAATTAAATTTTCCAAATAATAAGTAATTTTAATTGGTCGAGTTGTGCACTATGAATGAAAATGGTTTCTGCAAAGAAAATGATCAGATGACTGCTGTAAGTATAGACACCGTTTAACATACATATATAGCATTAAAAGTTACTTAACTTTTTAAGAAAAATGAATCTTGAAACATTTTGAAAAGACTGTCATAAGCTGCCGTAAATGTAGGTGTCTTAGATGACTTACTGCGATATACAGCTCGTTAGTTGAGCCAATGTAGCACAAGCGCATAAAAAACTCCTGAAATACGGAGGCACGCAACAATCTATACGCAGATTCTCGTGAAAGACTTGAACGCACGGATACAACAGCAAAATCCTACTACTTTCGGCGCAATTGCTGTGGAGTTGGTGAATCCGAGAATTTGTTGTAAAAATCTTATTTACACCTAAAAAAAGGTACGACTGAATGTTTTACCTGGTAACCTATCAGAGACGAACCACCAACTTTATTACTTCGAGTCCAAGAAAGGGTGACAGTGGTTTCCGTTCTATTGACAATGACTGGTTTCGAGGGCGGACCTGGAAACGTGGATGGTTCTGAGGATCGGAAAAATGCTATATTTGGGTTTGTTGGAGTGTCCAATTTCAAACTCGCTGTCCAAGTGGCTTTCCCATTTCTTGATGAAGCGACGCAAGTGTACAAGCCACCGTCTCCCTTTTCCAAATCTAGAAAAATAAACAAAAATTAATACTGTGACGAATAGTAAAACTATGGGGGAAAAAAACATCAATAAAAAATGTACTCTTCTTCTTTGATAGACTTTCACAATGGGTTTGATGCAAAAGTCATTTCAAAACATTCTACACTGTCTATTTCCGAATCCCGTAATTCCATCGATTTACTCCCACTGCTGTCTTTTTTAAACCCGATCAATCTTACTCTTAGCTTCATAGCGCAGTTGCATTGCCAGAGAAGTTTCATAGGGAAAGTTCATGATAAAAACTTTCTTCGAGAAAAGGCGAGTGTGTAAAAGGTGAAAAATTCCTGAAAAATGGGGAAAATGACCGCGAAAGAGGAATGACTTTAGGTTGACGTCGTCCACCGCGGTAGTGACACCCTTCCTTGGTGTCTTCCACCTTGCTTTCATCCAAGTTTCATCGTGCAAAAAAAGTGTCCCACTGAGAGCTGACTGATGAAAACTAGGTGGAAGGAACCAAGGGTGTCGCTACCGCGGTGGATCACGTCATAAACCGAATTGTTCAAGGAACGATCTCTCAGTTAATATTAAACTTAGAAAGTTACTCTTTGGACGGATATTCTTCTTCATAGCTGATCTACAAAAATCAAGCATCAAAACACGATTTTGTCACCAGCGTAACTCTCTCGCGCTGGGAAAAAACGCATTATGAACATTCGAGAGTTGCCAAATTTCCTCCAACGAAATCTTCATTTTTGCAGAGAGTCATAAATGTTCCTTCTTGAAATGAAACACCGCAATGAAGATACGTGGTTTCGCACTTCAGTCGGTGCGATACGGACAGCCATCAAGTTTAAAAAGTTGCATCAAGTCCCCGTCACCGCCGACCAACGCGTTTGTCGATCGAATCAACTACAGGTAGTATGAGCAGGGAGTCAAAACGCCTTCAATTTTTTGAACGCAATACGGACATCCGTCGAGGTTGTATAGTTGTATCAAGGCGCCGTAACGAACGCGTCCCATTGATTATCGTTACAGACGAATATAAGTTGAGACAGGCCAGTCATAATGCCTTCAATTTTATATATGTACATACGTATTTTCGGGCATGATGAGAGACGGCGTTTCTCCATTTGCGACGTTGCAGACTTCCTTAGAAATTTTATTTTTCTTTCGAGAAGCTGGTCAACGTAAAACTTAAATTCTCCATGATTTCCTCGTATTCGATAGCCGAAGATTTGGTTCAAAATTTAAAGTCGTAAATTTGGATTGTTTCGCATGGAAGAGATGAATTAAGAGCGGTTTTCAAATAATTTATATCTGATTAAGAGGAAAATTCTCTGAAAACTTGAACTGAAAATTTTCACGAGTTTTCCTGAAAATTTGTATTTAATTAGAGGAATTTTGGCAACTGACGAGGGCTCATACGGCGTTTATATTTTCCTCAGCACGGAAGAACTGACCCATTCCGCCATGCTCAGGAAGAACGCCGTATGAACATTCGAGAATTGCAAAATTTCCTTCGATAAAACGTGTATTTCTGAGGAAAGTTATGCCTCGACATTGGGCCTGTTGCAAACTTTTGCTAGAGCAAAAATAAGAGTTGTTTCTTATAGATAATGCCTCGAAAATCACGATGAGCGCATCAGCAAAGTCTGAAATGCACTCATAACTTCACAGTCTGCGTAAGAAATTTGCGGTTTTTTGAACTTCCCGCTTCAAAAACGATACTACGGCAGAGGTGAACATTTTGTAAGAGGAGTCGTTCCATCGTCGGCAATAATCATTATGGCCGACGCCAATCCGCCAAAACACGTTTGATGAGACGAATAACATCTGAACAGCATTAGACCAGATAACAATCGGTGTGTTAACGTTCATATTTTCCACGCCCGAATTGATTGACCTTTCTCCTCGAATTACGCGCGGAACTGCGCGCAAGCGTCGGCCATGATGAATATCGCCGACGATGGAGCGACTCCTCTAACAAAATGTTCACCTGTGCCGTAGTATCGTTTTTGAAGCGGGAAGCTTAAAAAACGCAAATTTCTTACGCAGATTGTGAAGTTATCAGTGCATTTCAGACTTTGCCGATGCGCTCATCGTGATTTTTGAGGCATTATCTACAAGAAACAACTCTTATTTTTGCTCTAGCAAAAGTTTGCAACAGGTCCTTTTTAGGAACTTTAGGTGAAATTGCGAACACAATTACCAGAAAAATGTGATGGAAATTATTCATTAAGTTTATCACGAAATTCGTGATTCATCAAAGGAAATTTGGCAATACCTGAACGTTCATACGGCGTTTTTCCTTAGCACGGGAGAACTGACCCATTGGGATTTAGAGAGATGAAGCTTGCCTTTGATGGTAACTTTAGGTGAAATTGCGAACAAAATTACCAGAAAAATGTGATGGAAAATATTCATAAGTTTATCAGGAAATTCGTGATTTATCAAAGGAAATTTGGCAAAACCTGAAGGTTCATACGGCGTTTTTCCTTAGCACGGGAGAACTGACCCATTGGGATTTAGAGAGATGAAGCTCACCTTTGATGGAGAGAGTGCCAGCCTCTGTGACGTTGACCTTGTTGGCGATGGGCATGATGGAGATGCCGTCCTTGTACCAGGAGATGAGGGGCTGCGGGTTGCCGGCCGCCTGGCAGGGGAACGTGGCGCTGGACTTGAACGGGAGCGTTTGGTTGGCCGGGCCGTGGACGATGATCGGCGGCTGGTGGTCGTCCGGGCTGGCCACCGTCAGCGTCGACTGCCACACGTCCGAGCCCACCTGGTTCACCGCCGAGCAGACCACCACCTTCCCGGAGTCGCTCTCGCTCACGTTGTGCACCGTCAGGATCGTGTGCCCTTCCGACGTCGCCTCCGCTTCGAACCGCTCGAATACGTCGCCCGGGTAAATCAAAGTCTTGTACCCTGAAAATAAAGTTCCATCGTTAGAGCTCCACTCGGGGTTTTCTCCATTTCAGTTTCAAACAAGCCGGCCAGCGGGGCGATTATTGAAACTGATAGACAAGGCTATGGACAAAGACGACAAAAGGGATTTGGAGAGATCCTATTGGTGGAAGCGGGTGGTGGCGATGGACATAGCAGGTAGGTAATGGACTAACTAACGGCAACCCACGAGAAACCTGACAGTTAGTCCATCATTTTCTTCCATAGTCTATGAAAGCCAATCATGCCAACCAATAGGATCGCTCTATACTCCCTATGTCTTCTTTGTCTATCGCTTTGTCTATCAGTTTCAATAATCGGCCCGCAGCGGGCTGATTATTGGAATTTGTAGACAAAGCGATGGACAAAGAAGACATAGGGAGCATGGAGCGATCCTATTGGTTGAAATGGGTGGTTCTTATAGACTGAGGGAGTAGATGATGGACTAAGTGTCGGGTCTTCCGTGGGTTGCCGTCAGTTAGTCTAGTACCTACCTCCTATGTCCATTGTCACCACCCGCTTCCACCAATAGGATCCCTCCACATCCCTTTTGTCGTCTTTGTCCATAGCTTTGTCTATCAGTTTCAATAATCGGCTCACAGGTTGGCCTAGTGGTCAGTGCGTCTGAATTTAGGTCAATGGGTCCCGGCTTCGAATCCCAGTGGTGGCTACAAAAATTTCAAGTAACGGGCGAGTGGACCTGCAGAAACAGATTCCACTCGGCCTTAATCCCTAAAAATTTGAAAGCCTGGAGCATGGATGTGCACTAACCCTAACCCGCTGCTCATTCAAGGTTGCAGAATCCTCGAATGGATTAAAGATCTCAATTAAATTACCCCCCCCCCCAAAAAAAAAAAAATCAAACAAATTATTACGACCGGGAGGAATAGGCGAATGAGGCCTTGCATATGTCAGGGTTCCGCGTTTTAGGTACGTTGACGTGTTAAATTAAATTCCGCGAGGAACACGATGATTTTCTCTGAAACGACTTTAATAAAAGCTCTCAAAGTTGAGGCTTAAGAGTTAATGGAGGGGATATCCTAAGATATCCTAAGGGTCCACCTTTATATCTAGGCAAACTCTCCATGCAAGCAAATACATCAGCTAGCTTGCCGTGTTTTCAGTTTCGGAATGTCCAAACAAAGTTGTAACCCTGTTGTTATATTTGCATGAAAAGTTTGACTGGATATAGAGGTGGATTCTCAGGATAGCGCGGGATTACCGCCTCAACTTCGAGAGCTTTTTTGAGCTTGAAAGTTCGTTTCAGAGAAAACTAGTGGCACCATCGTGTTTCTCTCGAAATTTTACACAAGTTAGAAAACTTAAATCGCAAATCCCCCACACATGCAAGAGCTCCATTTAGCATTCTCGTACTTGGAACAGCAGATGAGAAATTAATACTACTCAAATCTACGTTTCTTGGAGCTGCAGGCTTCAAACCGCTATAATTTCAGTTTTGTGTGACATTTTTAATGTTATTTTTCCAAAAAAAGGTATACGATATGACATAATATCGATGAGCAGAGTAAGAAACCATGTATCTAGTCTTTGCGGTGTTCCAAAATCTCCGCTCCGTCTTTATTTTTTCGGAGAGAAATTTGTCAAAATTATAGCTTGAAATTTACGCAGAATATTCCTCTGACAGAAAAAAAACCGAGGAAGTTTTCAAAAGATTATGTTAACTAGTTTCCTAAGGATAATTCAAGTATGACAGGAGATCTGGAGCGTCGAGAACTGAGATACGTGGTTTCGCACTTTTGCTATCAATTTGACATGACATGTTATAAGCCTGTGTCACACTATCAAAATGCTCCATCAAAATGTCAAGGTCAAGTGCTGTGATTGATTCAAGTCATCGAATAAGCCAATCGCAACACCTGAGCTTGATATTTTGATGGAGTATTTTGATAGTGTGACACAGGCTAATATGATAAAAATTAAATTGTTGACTGTGGTGGAGTTTGAAAAAGAAAACGAAAAATAAGGCGGGAAAAGCACTAGAGTACCTGTACAGCGAGAGTATAGACAGATGTAAAACTCCGAAAATTCATCAGGCCTTCACCGATGCCTCCGTGAATAAAGTTAGGGCCCAGAAATGCAGCCAACCGATGAATTTCAAATGTCCAGAGTGATTTACAAATACAATTGTTACGAACCGTCGTTTATAAAGCTTTTGATTGGCTTACTTTTTGCATAATTTTACTTATTTTTGCGAAAGAACGCTCATTTATGTACATTCTTGGCCATCTTGGCTAGAATTGAAATCTGTAGACTGGCAGTGAAATTTCGTGGGTTAGAAGTTGCTCAGAAGGGTGGCTGCACTTTTGGGCCCTAAGCTCTCCATCAAGCGATCTGTCCATACTCTTGCTATAAATGTACTCTAAAAAGCAGTAGATGGTAGGGAGGATGTCTGACCTTGGATGGACCAGAAGACGGAGGGCCTGGGGTTGCCGGCGACGGCGCAGACGAAGATGGCGTCCCTGTCGCGCTCGATGGTGATGTGGTCGGGGGGCTTCTCGACGAGCTTCGGGGGGGAGTGGACGACGAGGGTGGCGCTGGCGGTGACGGAGCCGACCGAGTTGTCGGCCAGGCAGGAGTACTCGCCCTCGTCCTCGGGCGCCACGTCCCGCAGCCGCAGGCTCCGGTCCTCCAGGATGAGGACCCGGCTCAGCGGCATGTTCCCGCCGCCGGCCGAGCGCTTCCACAGGACGTCCGGCAGCGGGTCCCCGCCCACGTTGCACTGCAACTCCACCGTCCCCCCCGCCAGCACCGTCTCGTCCTTCGGGCCCCGGATCAGATACGGCTTCACTGAAATCAAAAGCACTCACTTTAAACGGAGATAATCACACACTGAAAAAAAAATCTCGGTGTATTTACTAAGAAAAGGGTAAAATTACCAAGAATTCAGGGTTCTATTTGATCCCAGTTGACTCTTGGCAAAATTACCATTTATGGAATTGGTAATTCTACCGAGAAATCTCGGTAAAATTATCGAACTCTCTCGGTAATTTTACTGGACCTTGATAAAAACGCCAATATTTTTTATCGACTGTGGTAGAATTACCGAGATAAAATAGCAAAGTTACCGGGAATTGACTACCAATAAAAGTGGTATTCTTACCTGAAAAAAACAGTAAAAATACAGGTTACTAGGTAATCTTACCGGTCTGTCTTGGTAAAATTACCAATAATTGGTAAAAAAGTGAGATGGTAAAGGTACCAACGGACCTAGGTAAAAACGCCGAGAATTTTTTTTTCAGTGCTGAAGAAAACTTATGACATGATATCTACTAAAAGTTTACTTGATTTTTCACACAGTGACACTATTTAGTGGAATAACCAGAAGGATAGCAGCATTCACCAGAACTCTGGTCATACTTACCATAGTATGTTAAGTGCTAACATTAAATCTTATGTCCATTACTATACTCGTATCATATATCAGAGTACGATAGAATCTATCACATTTTTTTTCTGTGTTCCAAAGAGGATGGACGCAGAAAGTCTTGCAAGAAATATGAGGGAGCGTCAAGTTCCAGAGAGACTGTCGGAGGACAGGGCTTCTGTGGCGGCTAAGTGTCGCAGAGCGCCAGAGAGCGCTGCCAAAGCAAGAAAGGGTCTGAAAAGTACCAATCGACCGGACATTTCACAGGATCCAGAATTTTTCCTCACTCACCTACTTCCCAAATATTTCCTCTCTTTCCCACATTTTCAAAGTGATTTATTTTTTCTATCTTTCTCTCTCTTCCTCCTACTTCTCTCTCCCTCCCCCATCACTCCTCTTTCCCTCCCTCCCTCCCTTCTTCTTCGTGGATTCGGACTTCAACCGTCGGAATATCGTGAATAATGGAATGATACAACTATTTTAGCTTCCGTGTGTTGCACAGTATCATTCTCAATTGAAGGCGTTTTCCCTTCTCTTGAGTCGGGCTTTCCGCCTGACTCTTCACTCCTTATTCCTATCTTTTCCCCTCCCTTTTGACATTAGACAATTTGATCGAGACGTCTACCAAAAAGTCGAAAAAAATTTTCCGAGAATTATTTCCGGTGTCGTTAGGACAAAAATCTCCTCTTTTGTCAAAAATTTCAAAATTTCCTCTATAATGATTATGCGATCCGCGAATCGCAGGATCGGACAGATGTTGCCTGTGTAAAAGCGGCTATAAATGTATGTGTGTTTGAAAAACAGGATGCATACATTTCTAAGGATCTACAAATATATACGTGCATGACTGATAAAACCGAAGTGCCAGATTTCCCGTTGAGGGATTCGTTTGCCTCGTGAAATTTTGAAGCGAAAAAATTTGTATGATGCTTTAAATTCATACTTTTTCTGGAGACTATCTATGTATCGGGTGGTTCTCGTCGATTATTGCCACAGGCAATATTCATCTTCCACTGTTCAAGAGTGACATTTAAGTTCAAGTCGAATTTCATGTTTTTTTAAAGGTTTTCCTGAATGATACAAACTGTTCGAGTCATAAAATCTCTGGTAATTTGAATATATTTCATGAGATTTTCAAGTGAGAAGAAAAAACCCGTTCAATGGGTGGCAGAACTTCAATGAAGTAAGACGATGAAAAAATATTTACCATGAACATCTAGCATCGCAGGGGTTGATTCTCTGGCACCGACCACATTCTTTGCAATGCACTGGTAGCGCCCTTCGTCAATTTTTCTTGCATCTTGGATCGCTAAATTGCCACCGTCCACCAATCGGTACCTGCAAAAATTACAAAAGGAAAATAGACCAATTAATAATTCGAGGATCCCTGTGACGGCAGTTCATGACTCTTTTACGTCGCGGAATATCCGAAATGAGACGTAAATGGCACATAAAGTTATAGTTTTTCGCATGCATTTTTTTTCTTTTTTTTTTAATTCCTTTATTTTTGCTACTTTTCAGACGAGGGAGCTATTTGTATTTTGATCGCTGTTAATTCATTGAAAAGCTAAAAAGATGAAGACAAAATATCCATAAATATTGAGAACATTTCATTGCGTTTTTTTTTTGTGTTTTGACGCATCCAGAGCGCTGAGCGCGTTGGCACAGAGGTACCCATTGAGCAAATGAGCATAGAGAAAAAAAGATGTAGTCGCATCTTGAGGATTGTTTACCCCGTGATGTAGGTCGGTACAATATTAAGTGGATATTCCAGCAAAATCCAAAATTCGAGGTATGAAAAACGGACCATAACGTCCGTTTTTTGCTTACACGAACAAATATAATTTCGAAAACTTTATAAAGAATGACTTTTTTCCATTAACGGCACCATTTCCAAGGAAATCGATTATAAAAACCGTCCGTACTAACCTACTTCATTAACAAAATCCAAGATGCCCAAAATGTGACAATATCCTTCTTCTTCTCTATGCCCATATCGAGAGATGGACTGAATTTTGTCGATCGATAAATATTGGAACATAAAGGATGAGCTATCAAAAGATTATTACATTACTTGATAATGAATGACGCATTAGCACAAACCTCTTGTTAACGTTGAAGTCAATAAACTGATTGTTTTTCTTCCATTGGACGGTGGGTTCCGGGTGACCTTTGGGTGGACCGCATTCCAGCAGAGCCGTTTCTCCGGCTGCGACTCTCGTATTTGCCGGCTCAGCTCGGAACTCATCCCGGAGAACTGTAACAAAGAAGAAAACAATATTAAGAAAAAAGCTATCGAAGTCGCGTATTAAAGAAAATGAATCTCTAAACAGAATAAGAAATAGAGCACCAGAAGAACCATACACCAACCTACACCACCATCGAGTACATTTTTTCATTAAAATTTTACGTAAAACATGGTGAACACAGATAACTTCTAAACGTCAATCATGATCGTGTAAAATTGACGTTTTCTGCATTCGTCAGGTCAAATATTCCGCAGCCAAAAAAAAACCAAAGTCTACTGAAGTATAATCAGTCACAATGATAATTGGATTACATTTTGAAATGAAGAACTACAACTTGTGGATCATCCGTAAAAATCCTTTTCTTGCGTTGATAAAGTCCATGGTGCTTCCTCACGATAAGCATTCGGAGAGCGTCAACCATGTTAAATATTCTGTAGCATCTCAGTGAGCTGGAGACAGGATGGAACGACTTTTGTTACGAAATGTTCACCTGTGCCGTAGTATCTTTTTTGAAGCTCAAGAATTGCATACGTCTTCGCAGCAGATTGTGATAAGGTGAGTGCATTCCAGACCTTCTCGATGCGCTCATAACGATTTTTGAGCAAATTTGTATAAGAAATAACTGAGGGGATTGGAGGATAAGGTGCATGAGTGCAGTTTTTGCTATTCCGAGAAGTACGTGTTTGAAATTTCGAATTACGTGGATCCTTGTGGCGGGAAAAAAGTTCAAACTGACTTTTTGATGTATAAAAATTGGAATTTGGGAGCGAATTTTTCACAGAATATGCTCTAAGACTAGTTTTACTTGGAATAATTAAATTTCAATTTTTTTTTCAAAAATTGCACTTATACGCCTTGTCCTCCAAACTCCTCGACTCCCCTTTTTGCTCTGGCTGAAAATTGCAACAGGCGCATTCTGCGAACCAACGCGAAGGGCCTTATAGGGGGATGTGATAAAGCGGTAGGTTGCCGAGGAGGACTGAAAGTCAAAGCTCGGAATGCTCGATACTTTTATGCCAAGTCTGAGACTATGAGACGGCCAATTCAGCCAACACTTGGCCACATCTTGGCGGATGCGCGCGGAGAAAATGTAACTTAGCGCGCCAACCGACGGCTATGCTTCAAACTCTCATTTTCCACACGGTTGGACGTCAACGTCAATAAACGCGGGAGTTAGCTCCGCGTCACGTCACGTCACGGCGGGTCTCGTCATATCTAACGACTTTATCAGTCAACTCCAGTGTCGCGCATCTTCTCCTCGCTGACTCTTCCAAGTTCCGAGTGTCTAAACGTCTGGGGTAACCGGCTCCGTTCATTCGATAACTTAACCTCCGCATTCGTGTCACCCAAGAACTGTTTGCGTACGACGTCATGACGATCTCACGTCGCAAAACCCTGGTTTTCACTTAGGGTGCAACGAGGAAAATCACAATTTTGCAGCTGCGGGGAGCTGATTTGGTGAATATTTTGAAATGGATTTTCGATTCTAAGGAAAAGAAGAGATAGACTGAGTTTTTGTTGGAGATTTGAAATATGTTTGATTCAAAAAGAAACGGCAAACACATGTGGGTCACCAGACTCAAAATCGTGGAGCATCTTGCCAGGAACGAATGGACCGCGTTTAGCAGAAGGGAACCAAGCCACATCACTTTATTGCCAAATTTGACGGGGCAGTTCAATTTTTTACAGAAGAACATTTGAGCGGATTCCTTAGAAAATTTGAACAAATTTGCTTCGTACAATGCAAAAAATCCACTGTTTGCAAAAAAAATCGCGCAAAACCCGTTTTCATGTAAAAAATTAAATTGTCAAATTAAAGGCTGATGTGGCTTGGTTCCTTTCTGCTTAACACGGTCCAAATAAAAGGATAAAGGGGCGATCCGTACCTTTCAGAGTTTACTCTTCAGCTTTCGTTGCAAGCTTTGGTCATCAGTGTTCCAACTCGAAACCTCCAAGTTGATCATGGAACTGAACCTTAATTCTCGTCTCGGCATTTCTTACGGATAAAAACAAAGTAAAAAGCGATGACGGGCAAGTGTAGCTGTGAACATTTAGCTTCATGCTCTCGCTGTAATTTTATCATTCCGACAAAAATTAACAAAGGCTTGCCATATCACAGCTCACAGTGTTTATAAAATCCTAGATTCTCCCTATGTATCTCCCATGAATTTTTTCGGTGTTCGCACAATGCATCATTCGACAACTTGAAAGCAGACATACATCAGAATTCTCGACCACTACCGTATCATACTGTTTAACTGTTTTTATCATTACTGTTAGGTGAAAAATTTTGTCTACTTTTCAGAGTTCGATGTGGATTTTTCAAAATCCCTGAGTTTTCATGATTTTCCCCCAAAAAACAAACTTTCTGAGCTTCTCTCTGATTTTTTTGTCGCTAAAAATAAGGGAAAAGAGGGGAAAATCTACTTGATTGCTGGTGGTGCGGTAGAAAGGCTAAATTCAGCTGTCTTCACTCGAGGGTCGTGGCACAAAATGAATCTAGAAAAATCGCACAAAACTCAGTGTGGCGACACGTACGATTTTTCCCCTTTTCTAGTAAGACATGTGCGGGATGTGAAACCTCTCTTCAGCTTGATTGGCTGAAGGGGAGAGAGAGGGGGCGCTTCTAGGGTGGATACCGAGACACCAAACAAGATTTGGGGCTGAGTAGGATTCTAAGCCATAGGGACAGTTGAAAATCGAACTACATCATCAAGAAGTTACCGGAAGGTAAACATTTTCTGTTACGTGCGATTGTTGAGAATACCTTCATGTGAACGCGTCCTCACTCCTATCCAAGACTGTTGTGAGACAATCTAGGTTAAAATAACATTCAAGCGAAGGCTTCATTTCTTAACCGACGGAAGAAAAATCAGAGGTCGCCGAGCCGAGAATAGAGTCATGGCTTCGACTAGGATCAAATGCAATTTCAGTCTCAGTATTTCAGGAAATCTATGCGCTGAAATTGAGGAATATTAACCTCTGGTAATACCGGAGGACTGGTGACCACGTCTCCGATTCTTGAGATGAAAAACTTTTTCTGCGCAAAGTTTCCAGATGAAAACGGTCGAACATCCTCATCTTTTATTTATTTATGTAGAGAGAATGTAGGGAAGCAGAGCTGCGCGACCAAAAAATTTGGCGGATTAAATTTTCAAAAAATGAGAAAATTTTTTTCGAGGGGTTTATTATTCCCGAAAAATGAAGTTTAGGTTGATGTTTGAGATATTGGATATATTCAGAGTTTTGGTGGGGAAAAGTAAGACTCGTTCAGCTCAAGACAAAAGATCGTTAAAATATCTTCAATAGTTCCTGAGAAAGACGAAGTACTACTAAAACAGCCGCCGATATTTTCACGTCAAGGTTACGATTTGACACTTGTCTCGTTGCTCCAAGTGCTTTGCGCTGCTTTCGGCACTTTTTTAAACGGGAAGATTGGTGTGGAGTGAGTCGAAGCAATGATGAATCGACGTTATAAAGCCGAGTTTGAGGTTATCTCCCATAGTCAAGATTCTCAGAACTTTATAAATGAGGAGGTGAAAATTCTTCAACTTGCTGTCACGGAGCATTAAGTCCTAACGAGTGGACTTTGAGAACTTACCCCCCCCCCNTCCCCCCCCCCCCACCTAAACCCGAGACCTCTTCCGCGGCGACGCGACGTCTACACTGTCGTGCTAAGGAAAAACGCCATATGGGCCTTCGGGCGTTGTCAAATCGCCTCTGACAGATCACGAATTACCGATAACATTGAGGAATACTTCTCTTCCGGTTTCTCAGAGGATTTTTTTCAAAATCCGTTCTAAAATTTCTGAAAATTTCAAAAGCAAATATTCATAGCTTTCTTGAAAAATAAATATTTTCGGTTGGGAAATTTGGTAACATTGGAATGCTCATACGGCGTTTTTATTTTACAGTACTGCCGGGCTGAGGAAAAACGCCGTATGAACATCCGAGACTTGTTCAATTTCCTTCGATAAAACATGTATCTTTGACGTACGCCTGTTTTTCCTTAAAATTTTCAGATATTTTACGTTTCATTGCGTACAAAATTGTCCGAAAATTTTGGAAAATAATATTCACAATTCTCCAGCAATTTCGGTTTTTATTGGAGGAAACTTGGCAACGTCTGAAGGCTCATACGGGGTTTTTACTTAGCACTGCAGTACAATGAAACCCCGGGAGCGGATCCTCATGATTAAAGCGAGCACAAAATGAATCCAATTCATCTTGCCAAACGGAGCCTCCGAAGACAATCGCCCCCGCGCCCGCACCGCGCTCGTAAAATGAAAATTTCGCCAACTCGAGAACAATGAACTTTCTTCTCTTGCCCTCCGCTGATTGTAAGCAGAAATCTCCCGTCTTTTTCCGTTTCTTTGCAACCGATTTCCGACCGGCGAGGAACCTATAAATCTCCCACCGAGGAATGATTAGCTCACAAACGATCTAATTAAAGTCCTCATCCAGAATTACTAAATAGCTCGTGCCTGCTCCGTGTATTCTGTTTCCGGGTCCCCTATAAAAAGTAAAGGCAAATAAAAATACATCAGGGGAGTTGTGAAGAGGAAACCGACGTAAGGAAAGTTTAGTTCAGCGTCATTTTGCCACTTTTTTGTCGCTTATTCAGTAGCCGCTCGCGTCGTACTTTTGACAATGCATCCAAGTGAAGTTACTTCCTGCCAAAATCTCTGACGAAATTTTTCCAATTTTGTGATTAAGGAACTTGAGAGTAGTTTTTAATTTAACGACCAAAAATTTGAGGTAATAACTTTTATCTCAATATCTCAACGTAAAGTTGAAACAAGTACTGATACAGGAGTAGATGCTGCTATGGCTTTTGCTATAGTCATGAGAAAAACGGAATCTGAGCTCTTTTTGGTAATGAGTTGCGCTGGTCACAGAATCGCGTTTTGATGCTCTATTCTTGCAGATCAACTAAAAATAATAAGATCTGTCCAAGCAGCAACTTTCTACGTTGAATAATAATAGAAATATCGTAGTACATACCATA